ACTTCGATAATAAATTAATTTTTTATATACTTCAATATTTATCGGTGATAAATTAATTTTTTTTATATACTGTACTTCAATATTTATCGATCATATAATTGGTCAGTCCATCACGTGACTGCCCCCTCGATTGTTGGTTATGCTGGTGCTTTTGGGAGGTCTGGGGTATTCATGTAATATAATGTTATATGAAGAGATGCAAACTGATATTAGGGTGGTGCAAATACAAGATAAACTTTCAGGCTGTATAAATCTGGAAAACTATGAATATGGAAGCCTACTTGGCAAGTCCTGAGTAGAGAGGTAGCACAGATCTTCGATAGAGCTACTGTAAAAGTTAGACCCAGGAAACCGAACCTGGTAAACTGAACTGGACGGAATATGCGGTATTAGAGATGTACCCACACCAACTAGGCCGCTGTAATAGGAAAGAGAATCTAGAAACCGAGGTGAAAGAGCTGCGACGCATGTGGCTTAGCGGCAAGATAAAAGGTCCACCAAGGTTCAGGATACCTGCTTAGAACAGAAGAAAAGTACATAGTTATCAGGCTATCTAGATTGGAAGTCTGGGAACCAGGATTGGGGCCCTGCTACTGGACGAAAAAGAAAATACCTATACCAACTAGGCCACCATCAAACTCAAAGAAAAATAAGTAACACATACCGGGCTATCTGAATTGAAAGTCTGGGTAAAAGGAACCAGGTTACTAAAGTACTGGAAATATATTGTGAAGTAAGTTCTGGAGTTTGAGTGAACTTTACAAGGGCAGAAGTAGATTTGGATAGCGGAATTCAGCCGAAAACTGGGGTTAAACTATAAAAAGGAAGCAAGAAAAAGTATAAGCTAGGAAATCAACTGTAGGCAATGACCTCGACCCAGTACCATATACTTCCAAAATAGAATAAACTGAGCTGCAAGTGGTGGGCTTCAATCTGTGCGTACCAAACTGAAATGCAGGCTAGATGCGGTATAAAGTGGGAATACTGCAGGCTCTGCTAGGTTTACCTCGAGGATAAAGTAGTCCTAGATCGATATATGGGGTGAGTCAGTAGAAAAGAGACAAATTTTTTCTAAGTAAAAGTTTTCTTGACTTTAAGCTTAAATATTTTAATAACTATTTTATTAAATTTAATGAATTTTTTTTTATTTTAATTCTATATAATTTCAAGATTAAAACAAAAAAATTTTTAGCAAATTTGATTAAATAATTGTTAAGATATTTTAATTTAAAAATTAAAAAATTTTTACTAAAAATGATTTGTCTCTTTTCTACTGACTCACCCCATATGTAAAATAGTATATCAAGAAGAACTAGTTTGTAGAAACTGGAGAAAAGTTGCCAATTGATATGGGTCTCAGAGTATATAGATGCAGAGAGTTTAAAATAGTAATCCTCTAGCTAGGTTGCAAGTACAGCAAATAGTGTAAAACCTAAAAATAGGCAAACTACTTAAATAGGCACTCAAAAGGCACAGGTATAGCTAAATGTACTCTCCAAATATGTATAATGATGTCCTAACTCAATAAAGCATAATACAACCAAGAAGTCACCTTAATATCAAAAAAATATATATATATTATTAGATCAAGACCCAGATCTAGATATATTGTACTCAGAACCATTGCTTCAGGAACTATTGTTTCAGGAACTATTGTCTAAAGAATTATTATCTCAGAAACTATCACCTTAGGAACTATTGTCTCAGAAACTATTGCCTCAAGAACCATCATCTAGAGAACTATTATTTAGAGAACTATCGCTCAGAAACTATCACCTCAAAAACTATCATCTAGAGAACTATCTTCTAAAGAACTATTGCCTAGAGAATCATCATCTAAAGAACCATCTTCTAGAGAACTATTGTCTAAAGAACTATTATTTAAAGAATCATCACCTAGAGAACCATCGCCTAGAGAACTATCATCTAGAGAACTATTGTCTAGAGAACCATCGTCTAGAGAATCATCGCTACAGGAACCATTACCACAGGAACTATTACTACAGAAACCAGCACTACCATCTTAATCTGTAAGTTCTTTAAAATTATAAATAGAACCTTAGTATAACAATTGATTTCTATTTGTACTAATTTTATAAATTAGAAGAAATATCTGAATTTAGCTCTTGCTAATATTACAAATCAAGGTTATGCTATACAACATGATATTTTATAAGATTCTGCTTGCCATGAGCTTCAACTATATACAAAAAAAATAATTAATCAAATGTTAAAAAAAGGAAATTAATTGATTTTAAAGTTGGTGATTTTGTTTGAGTGAATATTCCAAAGATTGATTGGTTTGCAATTGATTGCTCTAGCCTTTCTTGTAAAATTATAAAGAAAACTGAAAATCAACAATACAGACTGGAATACAAATATAGCATACTTAATATATGCTATTCCTCAGATGAATTTAAAATACTTGAAGCTTCTGACTGTCTTGAACTTAATGTAATACCATTAGCAAAAATTTCTCTTTGAGAAGCAGCAAGACTTCAAAGTGTTGGATTAATGTCAAATTCAATTTGCAACTACAAGGATATATGTAATAATATAAAAGTACAACTGCAAAAAAGTAAACAGAAAATGTTCAAGCAGATATTATAGTAGTTACTCTTGTTTAAACAAAAATTAGTAAAAATTATAAAAACTAAAATAAATAGTTTTAATTTGTAATTTTTTTTATATTGATATTAAATAAACTTTAATTGCTTTATTTAAATATATATTATGTATAAATAATTACGTATTAAAAATAAAATTTTTGTTATTGTTTAATTATACGTCAGATTATAACTAAGGCACCTTAGATGACCGATCGATAGATTACACACCTCATCTGATGATCTGTATCTGAGATGTATCAGCTGTGATCTGAAGCAAGCATTAATCTGAGGTACAATACAGTATATATATGGGCTAGGTGCTGAGAAAAGGGACCAAATTGACAAAACAAAAGATCTTCGGAAAATCAATTTTTGTATT